AGGAACTAAAGAGCAAACACGTGTTAAATAGTCACATATGGATCCAAGTATATATAAACTATAAAGTAGACATTTCTTAGCTTGTTGCACAATTTGTATCCTCTACATATGATAAACAATGACATGCTAATCTTATATATCAAAACTGAAACATCTGTTATATCACTCTTCTAAGTAAGGGTAATTATTTTGGTTGTATTACATTAGTTAGTAGTTGCAGATCGTTCAAGTTGGCATCATACTGATGTCTGTTGTACATATTCTAAATATTTCTAATAGTATATAATATATGATATTATCCATCTTCAGCAAAAGGTATCACCCTTGATTCATTAGTATTAATATTTTTACAAGCATAATATTTTGACTATTGGGCCCGTGCTTGCCACGGGCCTCCCCATCTAGTAATAAATCGAAGGGACAGCTGCATGTTAGGCACAATTAAATATATTAAATAATAATTAAGTCCCCAACTCCCTACGTGCCAATTAAATTAAATTAAAAGAGTTTCAAATTGAGATGGATTAATTTTCTAGTTTTTCTATCCTTTTGAAAAATAAAATCAAATAGTAATTAATTTGATTATAAATTTAGTAATTCGCAATTGACTGAGTCAAATTAGTATTGAGTCATCAGCTCGTGTCGTAAGGTGTTGAGTTAAGTTCCATAATGAGTGCAACCGGCCTCGTGTTTAGTTGCCCTCGTTGAGTTTGAAATCCTGAACAGATTATCGGTGATAAGATATCTTTTTATCCCTTGACTGATAATCACATCGACCATAAGGTGATCTATCATCTCGATTGGATTATTATCGAAAAATCTCTCTCCGCTTTATTAAACTCTAAGTCAAAATTTTATGCAGCCAATTCAATTCACTGCAGGCTGCAGCGCACAAACATGAGTACTTTGAAGTAACCTTTGTGGTGGTTAGGGTTTAGTTGACTTGGATACTTAACATTTATTAGATGCACATGCATATCTCATTTATAAGGGTTAGGAATTATTGAATCTCCCAAACGAGAAGTTTCAGGTTTGAACCTCCTATCGAGTTTATCATATAAAATTTGTCTAAAACATTCTATGTAGCTACTATATAAGAGCGAAATTTATCCTATACACAAGATAAGTGACTGTGATTCCTTATCGTAAAAATTAGGGAATACCGATAATTGTAAGTATACATTTAAATTAAGGCTCCGCTTATAGGCTTCCAAGTTCATCTGCCGATGTTTGGAACACTGAAAACCCAGAGAATAAAGCTTTGATCTTAAACAAGTTGAGATAAACAATATGAATCATTTCCATTTAAGCTCATACCAATTCAATTCCGTAAATAAGACAAAATTCGAAAATAAACATTAAAATAAAATACGAGATAAAAAATCCGCATATCAATCTCTACTAGGACTAGAAAACTCTCAGAAAGCAATGGACCTAACTTAAAGATGTAAGAATGATATAGAAAAACTCAATTTCAGAACTGTGCAATGGCTGCTGATGCCATTGAGGGTGCTACAGAAGTTGCAAGTCTTGAATGAACCGTCCATTTCAATTTTCACCCAACAACTCAGCCTTACAAAATAGTTCCTCCTGAACAGGAACTTCCTTCAGTTGTTGTGATTAAACAACGTCAGCAATAGCTTTGAGAGCAGCTGAGGCTTGATTGTTATCCACGGCTGTGTCTGCCTCAGTGACAAGTTCATTTTGCTCATCAGAGGCAGCATCATCCAGCTTTGGAGGCGGAACAAAGAACGGAATTTTGCCTCTTTGTCAATCATGGAGAACCATCTTGGCAGGAGTCTTATAGTCAGGTTCGCCTCCCTGGAAAGCACACAAAAAGATTATACCAACTATAGTCAATCACTACTCTGTGGACAACCATAAGCACTAAAAGAATAGTATACACCCAGTTGAAGGATATTAAGCACATTGCTGAATTGTAACCCAATTGGCCAAATATATCAATCCTAAACGTGTTGGTAACAAATGCAGATTTTATCGTAAATCCCAGTAGAATAAAGATATATATAAGATTGAGATACCCTTTGACCCAAACCCAAAAATACTCTAACTGGTGCAACTATGGTGTCAGCATCCTCTTTGTTCAGACCAGCTATCTCTAAGGATACTGAAGCAACAAAGATAATAATCTAACTCTGCTTTCCATCGATAATAATAAAAGGAGCAAATTATAAAGTACTAATAGCTTTTTGTATCCAACTGATTCTATCTGCCAAATTCAGTTGCTGCTCAATGTGCAATATCTGAGTTCTCAACCAACTATATCATTAACATATACTAGTACTTGTAAAGAAAAATGCTAGTATTATCCATGCTACACCATTGCTACGTCGTAATAGCTCTGTTTCGACTCCACTGTACATTCTCGAGTAGTAGCATCTAAGTTACTAAAACACTCGGTTACCTAATCTTCTTTTGGCTTCTCTCTTGCATCTTCAGTTTCACTATTCTGCAACAACCTGAATTTAAGTATCTTTTGAAGCTGTGTTACAGGCTTGACTTGTTTGGACTTGGTTTGCTTAGGATCTAACGTGGGCCTTCCTGGGAAAAGGTTAGCTTCAGAAGGCCCCGCCTCTTCATGGACCACTGGAGGTGTATCTGCAGAAACGCTTACTTGGTGATAAAATTCCAGATTGATTTGAAGAATTTTTGTTTTTTTTTATATTATCCAACTAATATGCAAAAATCATGAAACTAGAAATACTGGTTGCAAGTCTTAATGAAAGCAGAATTCAATAAAAGCATGATAGCGGAATGGGTTAGAGCTATGTTCAACTGGGTAAACCCGCGCAAACAAAAACTCTTTACTGATTAGGGATGATAATCGCAATGGCGAGGGTCTGTTACCTACCATAAGTAGGGACTCACAGAAGACTGTAAACGACTTTTCGAGGAAAGACAAAAGAAAGTGTGAACCTAAGCCAAGAGCCCACTTCAGATTCATAACATCTTCCACCCTCTGAATCAAAGATTTACTCACTGCCAACAAAAACATACTATATTTACTAGTTTAATAGAAAAAAGACATGTGCCAAGGAGTCGTGGACTAAAATTCTGAAGGCCCCCTCCTATTCTTATGTTTCATTGTGTCGAATGCAACATTATGTTAGAGGACAGGTTCCAGAAAAAAACGTACTCCATTCATATGAACCTAAAAACAACAGATTCCCTGGTTCACAGTCTACTATGTGCCTAATGTTGTCACAAATTATCATTCACGGATACCAGGAGGCAGCCCAGTGTCAGAATTGCACCAGAAAACCAAAATTAGAAAACAGTAAACTAATCTGCACCCCTAAAAAACATCTAACTGCAGTTCAGTTATAAAGAATCAAGTTCTGACCCAGGCAGATTTTTGTATGATAGAAACAAGCAAAGAAGAACTCCCTCTTATTTTTTTAAAATATTTTTTGTGATGAGATGGAACACCACCAGCAACGTTGAAGCTAGATTAAAGTAATCAGAAAAGTAGCTCATTCCTTCTCTTGTTCTATTATAATATGTTGCGGAGAGGAACATGGCTTACCACTTTCATCAAAAACAAGGCATGTCCCAATAGTCTCATCATACTGTCCAATCTGCAAAACAGAAATAAACAACAGTTGAGATAAACACACTTCTACGGTACGAAAATAGCAGACGGACTAATCAGCTTAATTGCCCAACGGGGGTTCAAATGCATGTGAGGATAATCAAAAGATACAACATATTTGGAGTGTATAACCACAATTGTTACACCCACTCTCCATTATATATACTTTGTTTTCCCTTCACCAACTCTTTTGTTCTAGAAAGATCCCAACTAACGACTCGCCAGAAAAAACAAGGGAGTTGAAATGGATACAATCTGTCTATATCCTCTCACAAATGGAAGACAAAACTGTGAAGAGTGAGGACTGAGACCTATCAGCCATAAAGTTTTATTTAAGTGCATTATTGCCTATTCAATAAAGTGAGTGTAATGTCACTGATGTTAGTGTGGCGGCCTTTTGGGGTGTAAGGATGTCAGCGGGGATCAAGATGACTGACCACTGTAATGACTAATGTCACTAAGGAGATACATACCTTTATAAGAATATTACCACACAAACAACTAATCTCACTAAGGAGATATATTATAATTCTGTAAACATGATTGATAAATTCAAAACAAAAATGAACTTGAATCAGCCTCGAAACACCAACTCACCAGTTTGATTTTACCATCGATGGTCAAGATGGGGTTTAATGTGTCAAGACCCTGCAAAAAAAAAGTTACAAAATTAAAGAAACAAAGCAATTGCAATAGTTTTCAAGAAGCAATGAGTACCTAACAAGTCAAAAGAAATAAAAGGAAAGGCCAAAAGGGTTATCACTTAGTTTTGAATCTATAAGAACATCAAAACATTGAAACAGAAAGGTGAACTTGGGATCATACCGAGAGAACATATGGTGCATTTGGGGGAATATAAATTTCGCAGGGAAGGTCATCCAGATCAAGCAATATATACTCTGCTTCTTCCATGTTGTCATCACAAAGTGACTGCTTTTCCATCATACAGCGCAGCAGAAAATAACAACACCAAGAATTGTGATGGATGATACACACAGAGGAAGGGAAAGAAGTGAAGGAGAAAAGCTGAAAAGAGAAAAGAGAACGTGTAAAACAATGACGAAGGAAAACCTTACATTTTCATTGTACAACAACTTTATATATAGATGCCACATTGCCCCATAAACTTCAATCAATGACATAATGCAGCAAATGTATTACGTATTAAACAGTAAACAAGACACTTCTTCTTACAATCACCCTGTGCATTACTATTGTGCTTCAGAACATCAATTTTGTTAACTTCTTAAAATCTCCTTATATTTGAGTAATTGTGAAGTCAAAACAACATGAGTCATCTCAGCATTCCTTCGTCTGACTAGGATATATTTTAGGAACAAAAAATCAGTATTCAAATTCTTTTATTATTCTTTCTTATGAGACAAACAAATTAAAATTCCATCTAATCCTCTTAATAAATGAGAGAACAAAGTTTGATTTGGTGTTTCTTATGATACTCAAAATTTGTTTCAAAAAGGTATAGTGTGTCAATGAAGAATAAAGGATAAGCTAGCTCTTATGGAACTACAACAGTGAATAAAAAGTGATCATTTTCAAGTTTTTACCCGTTTGGTTTGATATACACTTCATGATTTATAAGCTTTTGGTATAAAGTAGCTGAAGTTTTGTTCCTTCCCATGTTGTATCCTTCTTTTTGATATGAAGATTTGATTCTCTCTTTCCTGTTTTTTTTTTTTTAGCTTTTGGCATCCAAATAGTTGTTCTCTGTCAGGTTGTGATAGTTCTTTCGACTTTCGAGTATATTCTCCACCAGGGAAAAAAAGATGACAAAATTTTACTTGTTTCCATGTATCTTCCTTAAGCTGAGTAAACTGGTAGTTCTATAATACAACTTTTTTTTGTTTCAAAAAGGGTGGCTTTACAGATTACAGCTAATCTAAGCTTCCCAACTGTCCACAAACAAAAATGATCATCGCCATTACTAATAAAAATCGTACAGGATGATACCTACTTTTAAAAGCAATTTTTTAACTTTTCCAAACACCTACAAAACTTAAAAAGTGCTTAAAAATCAAAATCACCTAAAAATAAGTTAATCCAAACAGGCACTGAATACTGTATCCAAGTCCTACTCTCACACAAAGCTTTTATGGTCAAATTGGCATAGTGAAATTCAGAAAATTAACTTTACCAGTTGGAAGAGTAGACTGAGAGACGAGGAAATCGCAGCTTCTGAGTTCACTACTTTACCTAGATACACAGCTTCTGCACTTCTGAATCAGAAATTATCGTCTGTGATTGAGGATTGAAGCACTGTCTCAATGAGGCGTGAGAGATGAAAGCAGTGAGCAGCTATGGCGCTGAGCGCAACTTTTGAATGTGCATCAGCCAGGCCGTAGCCCTAACCCTGAAGACGATCTAGTCAGGGGTAGAATTGTAATTTGAATCTGTCTAAACCGAGACTTGATCTGGTTTGAATACAAGTTATAATGTGATAGATTAATTATGATAAAATAAATTATGTTTAAATTAATATTTCTAAGTGAGTGCTTTGGTTTGTTGTGTGTAGGCATGTTCACGATTTGGATAAAAATCGATCCAAATCGAAAAACTAAACCAAACTGATAAAATAAAATTGATTTTATTTGGATTTGGTTTGGCTTGGCTTGGTTTTAGATTTTTGAAAATCAATAGTATTTGGTTTGGTTATGGTTTTATTCGAAAAAATCGAAGAAATAATCAAACCGAACCGACGAATTATATACATATATTTTATTAATATACATACTTAATATATTGTTTTTATAAATAACTAGATGGACACAAACACATTATAGAAAACAACTGTACTTGAACTTTATAAATTTAGAAACACCAAACCTTATCTCCTACTTTGATGAAAGAAGCAGTATAGTCTTGTATCAACTTTTTTAGATGTTGAACTTCCTCAGTTGCCTAGCAAGAAAAGAAACAATTAAGAATTTCTTCAATGGTCATTATAGAGAGATTTCAATCATTATTAATAGTTAACAATTAGTAAACAAGTTTGTGTGTTTTTTTTTTTTTTTTTGATGACAAGGGAAACCCGCAGTTGCTATCATTTGGGTGCGCACAGGGTAAAACCCCCGCTCTTATGCAATAGCTTGCAAATCACATAGGAGAGGTAACCCGCACTAAGCAAGCTTGGTGCGACGAGCTCGACCCAGAAAGCAAACCCCTTGCTTTCGCTGGCAAGGGATTTCGAACTTGAGACCTCCAATATGGAAGTCCCAAGCTCAAACCACTGGGCCACCCGAAGGATAAGCATCTCTAGTTCCTTTCCTCTCATGTCATCTCTAGTTCTTTTTCTTGATAATTCAAAATAGGTTACTCCTATTTTCAATTGATCAATTTTTTTGGATTTATTTTCATCGTTTTGCTGTTACAGATGTCTTATTTGTGCAAATTTAAAGAAAGCTAGACCACCATTTCTTGACAGAAATCCAACCAAAAGCTACAAGAACAGCACAAAAGAAAGTTGGACCACCAATTCCAAAACCCAACCCAAGACTCTTATTATGATGTTTATGGCCAGAATTTTGAAAAATCGGAGGCTTTACAATCACAGATTCACAGTATTATCAGAAACATTATGACGATGCCTCACAGGGCCAAATCCATAAGTTCAAAAACTCCAATTCTCAATACTATGCAATTAAGTACTCCCCTCAGTAGAAGCAGCAAACCCCACATACATTAACTCTTTTAGATAATCAGACAAGTTAATATCAACAATCAAGATTGGTTTTTTAGGCTTGAAACAAGTCAATGCATAAGTTGGAGTTGTCTTTTTTTGTTTTAGTGATATTCCTAAACTTTTTCAAATTGTTGATGAGCAAATGGAAAATTTAAAACTTACCAAGATTGTTGTTGCTGCTGTCGCCCTCTGCTTCTGCGACCTGCTGCTGTTGCTGAGACGGGCGCCGGTTAGGGATCGTGGCACTAGTCGATGATGGGTGGGGGTGGGCACCGGTCAGGGATGGGTCGGGATGGTGTCATTCTTTTTTAAAAGATGTGTTAATTTATCGACCACGGGATGTCGGTATCTTTTAAAATAATTATCTATGTTTTAAAATATTTAATAAAAATCGATATCGTGAAGTCGTTATTATTTAAATAAAATGATAATTTAAATATACTGACCTCTTAAGATCGATTTTATTAATTAAAATTACATATATCAATTGAGAATTCAAAAATGTGTGAAATGCAGTTGATAAATGTCAAATTTAATATATAAATCTCCTTGAATTGATCATCGGTATTTCTTTAATTGATAATGTATTTCATATATGAACCATTAATATATAAGACTTGATTTGTTAAATACTCGACGAGTATATAATCAACGTATTTCATACTCCGATGAATTATCCTTTACATGTCATTATATTGCCTATGATATGATCACTAGACTTGAAATCCATTCAAGATCGAATGTAAGAATCTTGATAGAACTTGCTTTGTACAGTACTTTACGATGTTCGATTGTCTATTTCATAAAATGAGATAAGACATTGAAAGTTATACGTATAAATAATTAAATAATTAATTATAAATATAAAATTTAATTAATTATTATCATGACATTTCTACGAGTATCATCTCGCATGCGCATCAACCTATAGATTTTTGCTTCCCCAGCCACCCCTCCAACACCCCCTCAAGGGCCTGTTGCATTTTATCTTGGATACAAGCTTTATAATTTTCTATTTTTTTAAAAAAAGTATATTAATTTACAATAAATTAAACAATCAATAAGTAATAATATATGTATTATAATTTCTACGTAACAAAATCTTACATAAATAATACCTACATAACTAATATTTGTATAATTAATATCTACATAATTAATACTTGCATAACGAATACTTACATAACCAATATCTGCATAACTAATATCTGCATAACTAATACCTACATAACTAATACATGCATAACTAATACCTACATAACTAATACCTACATAACTAATACCTGCATAACTAATACCTGCATAATTCTAACCAGTAACCAAACGACCCCTTAGGGTTTTGAGATTATGTTCTTTTCTAACAGAAGTGTTAATTTATCGATCATGAAAGGTCGTATCTTTTAAAATAACTAATTTTACGGCACGTGCGTTGCATGTGTGTATCATAGATATAGTATATGATGTTGTAAAATATAATTAATATTACTAAATTAAAGCTTTTTAGTAAATAGTTATAATTGAACAAACGTAGGATAAGTGTTTTTAAATTATTAATACATATTGTCACAGAGTTACTTGTATTTTGAAATCAAAATGATCAGATATCATTAAAAGTTAAAACATTTCAAAATACATTCAAAATTTAAATATGGAAGAAAGTGACATTTCTTTAATAATATTATTTCTTACTCCACTCAATTTTGTAAACAAATCTAACCAACAAAACAGAGAAAAAATATTCATTCAAAAAATGTCACCAATAGCCTTTCCTATTGAGGTTATGAACAAAAATGATGTAAATCATTTAAGTAGAAATTTTGTCTTAAATATTCATACTTGAAATTTAGTATGTGCATGACACTAATAAAAATTATCATAAGTATTTCAATATTTTATCTTTATATGTAACATATCATTTACAAAATATTATTACTCAATTAATATTTGAGTAAGTCTATCATAGAGAGGTAATTTTACCAAAAAAAGTGTACTTGATTGTTATGAATGATGGTTATATATACTTTAGTAAATAATATAATTTTAATATATGAATAACATCACCTATGGTAAAAATATTTCATTTCATTGAGTTTCTATCTTATTTTTGTGGAATTGTAGTCTTCTCCTTTTTTCTGCCGCATACATATGTTATAGTTGTTGTCTAATGAAAGTATCTAGTATCTTATAGAAGTTGTATCATGATATAAAATATTTAAATTTTTCAATGATAAAAATTAATAGATGAATAAAATTTAGAGTATTATTTATAGAATCGTTAATTTGATTTAAGATCATCTTATGATCAATCGCTATTTTCTTATCTATTTTTATATAGCTAGTAAGGAGTGTATCTCGGACATTCTTGATTGATTGAGACAAAAAGATTCCCTCAATACAACTTAATTCCGTCAAACTTGTACGAGTAGTGAAGAAGTATAGATTTAATTGGTTGTTTTGTGACATAAAGAAAAATTATATGGAACAATACATAGTCAATTAAGAAGGAAGACGAAAATATATGTTCATGTTATATTCAGTACTCTAGTGTTCCATTTGATTTAATTCTTGCCACCAACACTTTACTTTCTCCGTTCATTTCTACATACATATCCATTAAAAAATAATTATTATCATGGCTATGTTTTCATATTATAAGTAAAAGTAAAAATTAATTTTGAAATACTGAATTTACATCAAAACTAATAATTCAATGGATTACGTTGATAGCCATTGTTTTAGCAAAATTAGGAAGAAACTCCTTCATTTGAGGGAAGAGAATAAAAAATAAAAAAACCAAGAAGAAATATCTTACCCAAATCATATGTTTTTTTTCATATTTGTTTAATATTGTTGTCTCTCCTATAACTTTTATTCATTGTTAACTCATGAAAATGGTAAGAAAAAATACGAGTGTGAATTAATGAATGATTTTCTACAATTTTTTCACCAACTCTTTCTTATGAGGTACCTCAAATTTTGTTGAATTTCAAACTTAATCAATTTTTGCAAATAACATTTGAGATTTTTTATAAGAAGAAGAAAAAAAATTGTAGTTTAAAAGTGTGAGGAAACCCCTCTATTTATAGCTACCAAATATTAGTATGAATATGTGTTAATTGTGTCTTATCCAAAAAGTCACAACCTTTCGAAAAAGTCACTGCTTATCTGACAAGTCACAACTCTTTGAAAAAGGCACAATTCATATGAAAAGGCACAACCCTTTAGAAAAGTCACAATCCTTCGAAAAAATCACAACCCTTCAGAAAAGTCAGAAAAAGTCAACAACCCATCAAAAAAGTCACAACCCTTTGAAAAAGTCACAATCATTTAATTTGAAAAGTTGTCGACTTTCAATATAATAAAATTAATTAAACTAATAAATAAAATAAATTGAGTTCTTTTAATTAGGGGTATTATAGTAATTCAACATTCAAGTTTGGGAGTTAATGCTTTTAAGGTAGTATATAGATTTTAAAAATCTTATACATATTTTCATTAAAATTTCTTTATAATTTACTTATTGAAAACAAAAATGCCAAGATGAAATATTTATCTTATTGATTTCATGTATATGAGTGTCTATGACAATTCTTTGTGGGAATGAAAATATTATTGTCTCTTCCTTCTATGCCAATATAGTGAATTTTAAAGCTTTACTGATAGTAAATTTAGTGATCGAAAGTTCAGTAATTTAAGTCATTCTAACTATTTACGTTTTGAATGGATTGTGGTCACTTTTTTTCACATTTTG